TTATATCACATACTACTGAAAAACAAAGATTAAAAATCTAGTGTAGATGTTAGACTCTTTGAAATACAATATTTAAAAACAAAAACACACAAAAAAATTTAGAAATGTATATGAAGTTTGATTTAAAAATAGGGTTTTTCTCTCTCTCTTTTTTTTTTTTGGCAAGGTTATAGTGAAATGAAAATTAAGGAATAATAGAGGAGTATTAGAGGACTTTAAAAGGAAATAGGAGAGAAAAACAAGAAAAAGAAAAAAAAATTTTTTTTCCCTAATTAAAAAAATCATAAAAATATATGAAAATGAAAGTTGAGGAGTAATGGGGGAGTAATAGGGAATTTTAAAAGAAAATAAAAGAGAAAAAATTTTTTAAAAAAAAGGATAGAAAAAAAAAATTTTTTTTTTAAATTAAAAAAAAAATATATATATATATATATCTAGGAATTTCTCTGGAGTTGTTGCAGTCAGCGTAGGTTCAGTTCAATTTCAGATAGCTCCTCTTTCCAGCTTACACTTCTCGATATCTGTAGGCCCCTTCCGGTGTAGTCGGTGTTACCTTCAGGGATTTTAATCTGTTGCACCAGTCCTTTCTGAAGCGGTTCCCTTTGTTTATTTGGCTTCTGTTTGCCGTCTCTTCAGTGTCTAATTTCCGCCCTGACACAGGCGGGCGGAGGTGATCTCTTATTTCTCTAGTTCAGTTCAGTCCTGCTACGAGAAGGGCGGGGCGCTGCAGACAGATACCGCTCTGTGTGGATAGCACTCACCGTGTTCCGGCCACACTGGGTTTGCCCCGCTCACGGGTGTCAGTGCTTTCGCCGTCTACACTGCTCAGGCTCCCGGCTGCTCTATATGGAGCGGGCCCTGCGTTGAGTGCGGTTCCAGTTTTCGGGTACTCCACAAAAGCGCAGATTCGGTTGCGCCTGCGTTTTGTGCCTTCCACGGCCTGAGCGGTTCAGGCAGCCAGAGGCTTGAGCGTACTCTCCCTGGGTATGGCACGCCTTTTCCCTCCGCATCGAGCGGCCCAGGCAGCCAGAGGCTTGGGCGCACTCTCCCCGGAGGTGGCGCTCCTTTTCCCTCCGCGGCGGGCAGCTCAGGCAGCCAGAGGCTTGGGCGCAATCTCCCCGGGTACGGCGCGCTTTTTCCCTCCGCGGCCCCAGCGCGCGCCGCCAGTCGGGTCTCAGGAAGTCTTTAGATAGGAACCGGGGGCCTGTTTGCAGTGTGGGAGGGGGTGGCTTCTCAGGAGCTAAGTTTGCCCTTTTCCCCTACCCCCTGCCTCCAACCTCCAGCGGGGATGGGCCGGCTCTTCTCTGGACTTTCTCAGTCCCTTTGTTTTGCGAACCGCCGGCAGTGTGTTCGGGCCCTAAGCAATGCCGCCCGCTCCTCTCCGTCCCGCCCCCGCTTGTTGCTGGCGGGTACGGGCGTCTGGGGTACTTTTCTGCTGGGAGTTGCTTTTAGGCACGTAATCTGTGGGCCTTGTTTAATTTTTCCTCCCAGTTAGATTGCTGAAAACTTCCCCCAGTCCCGCCAGTGCGAGGGTTTCCTGGTGATTGGAAACTTCCTCTATTAAGACTCCCTTCCCGGGACGGGTCTCCGTCCGTAGCTCTTTTGACTCCCTTTTTATCTTTTATATTTTGTCCTACCTCCCTTCGAAGACAATGGGCTGCTTTTCTGGGCGCCTGATGTCCTCTGCTAGCGATCAGAAGTTGTTTTGTGCAATTTGCTCAGCATTCAAATGTTCTTTCGATGAATTTGTAGGAGAGAAAGTGGTCTCCCCGTCCTATTCCTCCGCCATCTTGGCTCCTTCCTCTCTCATTTTAACTTTAAAAAATAATTGTATTGAAGTATATGCAGAGAAGTACGTACATAGATACAGCTAAATTTATAATACACTGAAAGTAAAGTAGCTCAGTCATGTCCGATTCTTTGTGACCCCCATCAACTGTAGCCTGCCAGGCTCCTCTGTCCATGGGCATTCTCCAGGTAAGAATACTGGAGTGGGTTCCCATTTCCTTCTCCAGGGGATCTTCTCTACCCAGGGATTGAACCCAGGTCTCCCACATTATAGGCAGATTCTTTACCCTCTGAGCCACCAGGGAAGCCTGTAACACACTAGTAATTACCATGTAACAGACTCCCAGGTCAAGATGTAGAATAGTAGCAGCAACACCAAAACTGCCTTCATGCCCCTCCCGGTCCCCATCCTTTCTTCCTTTCCAAAGGCAATCACTACCTGATTTTTCATACCAGACAAATTTAATTGGTTTTTAAATTTTCTATAAATTTTTCAGTATGTACTCTTCTGTGTCTATTTTTTACTCACATTGTATTTGTAAAATTCATTTTTGTTGTTCTCTGTATCACTAGTCCATTAATTTTTATTGCTGTATAGTAGTCAGTTGGATGAATCAGATACAGTGTTCGATTTACTGTTAAGGGACATTTAGATTACTTATAGCTTGGGGCTGTTAAAGATGAATGCTGCCGTATACCTTCATATACTTTTCTTTTGATACACATGTGCATGCATTTCTTTTTGGTGTATGCTGCTGCTGCTGCTGCTGCTGCTAAGTCACTTCAGTAGTGTCCAACTCTGTGCGACCCCATAAATGGCAAGCCACCAGGCTCCCCCATCCCTGGGATTCTCCAGGCAAGAATACTGGAGTGGGTTGCCATTTCCTTCTCCACTTTTTGGTGTATGCTAGGAGTCTAATAGCTGAATCATAGCCAGGTCATAGAATATTCATATACGTTCAATTTTGGTAGATAATATCAAACTGGTTTCCAAAGTGATTTTTATGAGTTTTCATTCACATTCCTTATGATTGTGTCAGTTGCTCTTTTCAGTTCAGTTCAGTCACTCAGTCATGTCCGCCTCTTTGCGACCCCATGAATCAGTTTCACTAATACTTGGTATCATCAGTCTTTTCCGTTTTTATCATCCTAGTATGTGGTAGCATTTCATTGTGATTTTAATTAACTTTTTCCCAGTAATGAACATGAGAATCTTCTCATGTTTATTGGTCTCTTGAATTTCCATTTTTGTGAAGAGTGTATTCAGGTCTCATCTCATATTTCTTTTTTTTAAAAACTCAATTTGTTAGGAGGCCTGAATTTGCTAAATATGTGCTCTTTTACAGTTATATATGTTGTAAATATCTTTCATTCTGTGGCTTGCCTTCTCATTCTCTTAAAGATTTTTTTAAATGAATCATAGTTATTAATTTTAATTAAGTTCAGTATGTCATTCTTTTACTTTATGATTTAAGAAACATAATTTATACCCTGTTTAAAAAACCTTTCTCTGTCTCACACTTATGAGATTTTCTTTTGTGTTATCTTTAGGAGGTTTTTTGTCTTACCTTTTGATTCAGATATGCAATCTATCTGGTAGCAATTTTTTAAGCATTGTTTAATTTGACATTAGTTAGAAAAAAAATTTGCAATAGTACAAAGACATCCAGCTGTTCTTCACCCAGACTTGCTAGACATTAATATTTTATTGTATTACTATCACATAGATGGTCAAATATTGATATAGAGAGTGAAACGTTGGAGCCATCTTGTACTTGGGTACAAAAATGATTGTTAAGAATTCAGGCATTTTCAGATCAGTTTTTAAACCATGATGGCTTGAAATGGACCATGGGGGAATGTGTATTCATTCCATAGAAATTAGCAAGTGTGACAAATCATTTCTTTTTTTTTTTCACATATCAAATTTACTAAAAAAACAAGTGAAAATAGATGCATAATTTAAAACAAGTGGGTATATTTGTGGCCACAAGATAAGATGAGAACATAGGAACTGAGTAGTAGCAAAATTAAAAGAAATTGATTGAAAGAAGCTGACAGTGTTCTCTGGGCAGGAATGAAAGGAACTTTTAGGTTTCCAAATGCAACGTTTTAGTTGCATGACTGAAGTTTCTAATTTGCAAGCTGAAGTAAAACCACCTGCTTTGCATGTAGTGTGAATATGGCTATACAAGAAAGCAATCCAGGAAAACTGCAGGGGTGAGGGCTGGATACCGGCCATGGAGCTGAGGTCTCTCATGCCAGGCAGCGCAGCCAGAATGAATACATAAAAACAAAATTCCATTTAAAAAGCTAAACATTTTGACCCTACTGAATTGTAGACTACTGCAAGCATCCAAAAATGTTTATTTTACCTTTCAGTATAGATTTGATAGAATTTATGATTGACCTCAGTTGTAGTTATTTTGACATATGATTTGCTGACATAGGTTGATGTTATATATGGTAGATTGATACCACCTCAAATCTTTTACTTTTTATAAAATATATAACAAGTGATACTGTGTATACAGTTAAAGTGTTCAAAATGTATGAGCTTTTATCACTGAAATGATTTGGCTTACTGTAAGGTTCTTAGGAAGAAATAATAAAACCAGAATGATAGAAGACCAAAGCCAGAACTTAACCCTTAAAACTTGAAGTTTCTTTTTCTAATCCTAAGGAAATTTTTCTACCATTTTGCTCTGTCTGAGGAATCAATAAAAGATTGTAGTTCTTGTATAGTTCCTAGAGACTGATAGGGTGATGAGAGTTAATTTTTTCTTCATAAACACCTTCTCAGCTCAAATTAAAAAGAATCAGTGATAGAGTTGCCTCAGTCAGTCATGCATTTTAATTCTTATTCTAGGGTTTAACTAAAGTAGTTGTAGTTAAGCAAATAGTATGTAGAGATGGAAGGAATAGAGAGACAGACAGACAGACATGGAATTTAAATAGAAGCTCCTGATAACGTATCTTGATTTGCTGTCTACATTAACAGACAGTTGGTAAATAAGAAATGTGTTTCCCTAAATGATCTGTTGACAGAAAGAAGAGTCAGCAGAATATATAAGATTTCCTTTGACAAGAATATCTCTTTATCTTGAATGCATTGTATTTTAGTGTATTTTTAAGGATGTACATACAAATGGCTATATATTTTTGTTTTTCAGAGTTGGAGGGTTATCCGGTATATTAATGTCTTATTGATAATGGCAGAACATCCACCACTACTGGATACAACTCAGATTTTAAGTAGTGATATTTCTCTTCTGTCTGCCCCTATTGTAAGTGCAGATGGAACACAACAGGTAAGGAAACTGAAATGTTTATTTTCTGATATCTAGTACACATGTATTTTCTTTCAGAAGAATGCAAAATTTAGAACAGAATGACGTATCACAACAGTGGGTTCCTGTTAATATTTTAAAATCCAGTTCACACTGTTGTTCTGATTTCATAGGAAAATGAAATGAGACTGTTTTTGAAGCTGCTTCTAAAATGTCTCACTAATTAATGGTTAAATTTCTTGTGTTTCTGTTTAGTTGCCACTGAACTTGTTTTTATTTTACTTTAGGCAAACAGTACACTAGTCCCTGAACGTTTTTTAACTAAGTTTAACCTTGTGCCTTAATGATTATTATAGATCATTACTTCAAGTCATTATGAAATCATGATTTAATTATATGATTAAATGACTGCCTGCATTATATTATAATAAAATGTTTTCTTACCAGAATTCCCTTCCCCCCTAAAAGCAAACACACAATTCCTGGTGTGTTTTTCTCCCAGGGCCTTATTAATAAAGTTATGAAATAAAGTTCTGTTATTTCATTGATGCCTCATTCCCTCAGAAATCCTAAAGGGATGATGAGAATGATGGGCTTTCATAAGTACCTGTGATGTGCCAAGCTATGTACTTAATTCTCACAGCTACTTTGTATGGTCCGGATTTTAATGTTTTGAGTAAGGAAACAACAATTAAGGACATAGAAAATGAGGGAAGAGAAGGAACAATTTAAGTTCTCACTATGGGAAAAAACATGTCCTAAGAACTTTATGATCTTATTTAATTCTTTCAGCAATCCTGTCCCTATTGCAGATGAAACAAAATGAGTTTCAGAAAGGCTCAAGATCACACAAAGCTTTTTTGCTCCATTATTCATATTGCTTCCTTGGGAAACTAAGAGAAATACAATCGTATTTTGTTACTTTATAAACTTAGTGTCTGCAGTGGGCAATTATTTGCTTACCAGATAACAGACTACTCTGTTCACTTTGCTGTTGAAAAATCAAGTGATGACTTGTGTTCTACATTTTTCTGTTTTAAATAAACGTGGTATGAAAAGTATACACTGGTTTTTATTTTCACACGTGCTCTGATAGCTTTTAGCAGCAACTTCATTTCACTAAAGTTGCTTTTTATGATAAAATTCAAGTCTGTTAAACAGGTTTTTTTCTCCCTTAAAAATAATATGTGGCAGATATTCGTTTACTTTAAGGCTCTGGGAGTGCCTTTTATCATTGTTGCCTCAGGCAAATCACTGGCTTCAAGTTGTTTATAGTGTAATACAAGAAAGAATCTCTGAAGCAGTAAATTACAGTACACTGATGTAGTTCCTATGGTGTATAGTCTGTTAAAGGGAAGACAATAGGCTGAAACAAGACCAGAATGCCCTCTTAAGACTTATTTCTCTCTTTTCTTTCAAAAGGAGATTCTTTTGGCAGAATTTTTCTTGAGATCTTAAGAGAACCATGACTAGCATATAGTAGTGATTGTGTAGATGGATACAGAGAAAGGAGCTGGGAATAGAAGAGCATACTAGAGCAAGATTTGAAGGATCAGGTGGAGTCAGTAGTTCTAGAAGACATGTTTTTAGGTAGGTTTTGAAAAGTCAGGTGTCAAGAGATGGAATAAAGCTTTAAATTCTAACTAGTTAGGGGAGAGACATCAGTAAGTGGAACAAGCATAGCATTGGTCGATAGATTTGATTTGGGTGACTTAAGACAAATTATTTAACTTCTCTCTGAGATAGAGGTTACAGTAGGTGTAGCTTTGAGGGTGAAATGAGCTTCAGTAAATATTTGCTGAATTTGAATTGAAGCACTCAATGAATGCTTAAAAGACTGAAGAAACTGTAGGTACATCAGTCAGGACTTAAGTCAACAGATGTAGTTATAGTAAGCTGAGAAATAATTATGACTGATACTGAGTATAAGTGTAAGAGAATGGACCAGTAACTACGGTAGACTGTAAGGAACTGAACAAAAGTAGGTAACAGTTAACAACACACATCTCTTTGTCTTAACTCAGGAACTTACTGCTGTGCCAAGCATGGCCAAATTAGAGCTTGCCTGTGGTGATATGACACCACCTGGTTGGTGCCCAGAGTAAAGAAGCAAGCTGAAGACAGTTCCTAACAGAAGGAAGTGGCATGTACATGCATGATGTTAACAATTTAGGGTAACAGATAGATTGTCCTTTGTCTTTACTCTCTTGGGAATATCATTCTGTTTCTTCTTGGGAATATGAGATGATTTCTGTTCCACTTCTTGAGATCAAATTAATTTTCTTATGGTTGACCATCCAGATTATCTAAAATACTCATCAATATTTTCTCATTTTTTTATAGCAAACATATTTTATACAATGTCACATACATAGTGGGTCTTTTGGCTTATGAATTACACTGGAAGGAATCACTCCTGACATCCATACTGCTAGTGTTGCTTTTAGGGAAGCTATGAAAGACATTTATGTTTCATTTTGACTGGCAGCACCTGAACTGTTTTTTGTGTTTGAAAAATTTCATTCATTTTTTTTCTTAATTTCTGGAGTGTTTTAGGTTTACAGAAAAATTTAGCTGAGAGGTTTTCTCATTTACATCTTACACACAGTTTCCCCTATTATTAACATCTTATAGGTAGCATTTGTTGCAGTTAATAAACCAATGTGCTTAATTGTTCGGTCGTGTCTGACTCTTTGTGACCCCATGGACTATAGCTTGCCAGGCTCCTCTGTCCACAGGGATTCTCCAGGCCAGAATACTGGAGTGGGTAGCCTTTCCTTTCTCCAGAGTATCTTCACAGAGTATCAATCCCAGGGATCGAACCCAGGTCTCCCACGTAGCAGGCAGATTCTTTACCATCTGAGCTACCAGGGAAGCCCAATAAATAAACCAATAATAACCAATATTGATACATTATTAAGTTCCACAGTTTACATTAGGGTTCATTGTACAATTCTGTGGGTTTTGAGAAATGTGTAATACTAGGTATCATCATTATAGTATTATACAGAACAGTTTAACTTCCTTAAAACTCCCCTGTGCCCCATTATTCCTCCCTCACTCCCCACGGCCTGAAACTTTGGCAAATAGCTGTAGTTTTACTGTCGCTATAGTTTTTATCTTTTTCCGAAGTATCTTATAGTTTGAATCGTACAGTATGTAGCCTTTTCAGATCAACTTCTTTCACTTAGCAATATGATCTAGAAAATTTCTCTTTGTGGCTGTTTCAGTAGCTCATTTCTTTTTATTATTGTATGAATGATACTGTTGTATCATTCATTCATTGTATGATTGTATTGTATGAATAATACATTATATGAATGAAACTTCATTGTATGAATGTACTAGCTTATTCATTTACCTATTAAAGGACAGCTTGATTGTTTATAGTTTCTGGCAATTATAAGTAAAAATGCTTTAAACATTTATGTGTAGGTTTTTGGATAGACATAAGTTTTCAACTAGTTGGATAGATATCTAGGAGCATCATTGCTCGATCTGTGTTCAGCTTTATAAGAAACTAACAAGCTGTTTTCCAGAGTGGCTGTGTCGTTTCACATCTTCAGGCATGTGCTTGGTCTGAGATTGTACGCTTTCTTGGTAAAGCCCTTATGAGTGCTCCTCCTACCCTGTTAGAACCCCCACGTGTGCTTTAGGAAATTTGAGCTTTATAGTACGTGAAATGCTCTCAGTTCTCGTCACTATTGGTACCAACAAAAGGAAAGTTCAGATACTTTTGGTTCTTGTGTAGTTCAGCACTTTCCTATTTTAACTTTACCTTCTCTAATTTCTATTCACTTACCTTCCAAAAACATTGAGTGCCTGTAAACTTTTGGTAATCTGATAACATGGACCACAGCCTTGTCTAACTCAGTGAAACTTAGCCATGCCATGTGGGGCCACCCAAGACGGCTGGGTCATGGTGGAGAAGTCTGACAGAATGTGGTCCACTGGAGAAGGGAATGGCGAACCACTTCAGTATTCTTGCCTTGAGAACCCCATGAACAGCATGAAAAGGCAAAATGATAGGATACTGAAAGATGAACTCCCCAGGTCGGCAGGTACCCAGTATGCTACTGGAGATCAGTGGAAAAATAACTCCAGAAAGAATGATGGGATGGAGATAAAGCAAAAACAACACCCAGTTGTGAATGGGACTGGTGATAGAAGCAAGGTTCGATGCTGTAAAGAGCAATATTGCATAGGAACCTGGAATGTTAGGTCCATGAATCAAGGCAAACTGGAAGTGGTCAAATAGGAGATGGCAAGAGTGAATGTCGACATTCTAGGAATCAGCAAACTAAGATGGTCTGGAATGGGTGAATTTAACTCAGAGGACCATTATATCTACTACTGTGGGCAGGAATCCCTTAGAAGAAATGGAGTAGCCATCATAGTCAACAACAGAGCCCAAAATGCAGTACCTGGATGCAATGAACTAACACCCAAAAAAGATGTCCTTTTCATTATAGGGGACTGGAATGCAAAAGTAGGAAGTCAAGAAACACCTGGAGTAACAGGCAAGTTTGGCCTTGGAGTACAGAATGAAGCAGGGCAAAGGCTAATAGAGTTTTGCCAAGAGAACCCACTGGTCATAGCAAACACCCTCTTCCAACAACACAAGAGAAGACTCTACACAAGAATATCACCAGATGGTCAACACCAAAATCAGATTGATTGTATTCTTTGCAGCCAAAGATGGAAAAGTTCTATAGACTCTGCAAAAACAAGACCAGGAGCTGACTGTGGCTCAGATCATGAACTCCTTATTGCCAAATTCAGACTTAAATTGAAGAAAGTGGGGAAAACCACTAGACCATTCAAGTATGACCTAAATAAAATCCCTTATGACTATACAGTGGAAGTGAGAAATAGATTTAAGGGACTAGATCTGATAGACAGAGTGCCTGATGAACTATGAACGGAGGTTTGTGACATTGTACAGGAGACAGGAATCAAGACCATCTCCAAGAAAAAGAAATGCAAAAAAGCAAAATGGCTGTCTGAGGAGGCCTTACAAA